TATCTATGGCATCCTGAAATGGAACTTATTTCCATGAAAAAAGTATGACTGAGGATTCCATTCTGGCCACAGGTCTGAAAAAGAAGTGTGTATAATTAAAACATCTTTCAACTCATAATTAATATTTATTTTTTCTCACAGTCAGGTTCAATGCCATGCTTCAGAGGATGTCGCACAAGTTGTTAATAAAAACATAGCCATGCTAGAAGGTCGCTTTGGAGTGCTACTATTTCTATATTCAGTGTTACTGACAAAGGTACATTAACTTACAGCAACCTGTCTTGACCTGACTTTCCTGGATATATCTTTGCTTCTTTGCTTAACCCTAAAAGTGACCAGCATCTTATTTCTCTTTGTAGTAATACTGCCGAATCATTCATAAAGATCATGAGAAAAAAATGGAAATGATTGCCAACCTAAGAAGGTTTCAATTGATTGTTAAACAAATTCTTCTTGTTAGTTCCAAAGGAAATGTATAAAGAAATGTATGGAGAATGTACATTCTGATGTTAGTACGGTAAAGGGCTAATGAATAGGAGACTGAAATTCGTAAATTTAATACTGTTGATTCACAAATTCAAAACCTGTTGCGAGGACAGGTTAAGGCAATTTTGTGGGACGTTATTTGTACAATTCTACAATCTGAATCCTAAATTATTTTGCTGGCAGTCTTATGAAACTCTGTAGGATTTATTTTGATAAGTTTACCATCAGGTATTGAAGGAGATTTAGTACTGAAAAGTAGAATCAATATGTAAGTTAAGGTATTGCAAGTTAAAAAATTTGGTTTTACTGATAGGGTTTAGAAAATATCAAGTCCGAAATGGAAGATGTGGGTGAACCGCTGGTGGATGAGAGTTTTGGTCATGGAAGGTTTGTTACAAGAGAGATCATGGGAGTGAAATGGTTCACAGACAGTGTACTTTACAGTACTGTATATTTTTCTATGATATAGAACTAATTATTTCTTTCCTTAATCCTTTTACTCCCTGCAGTGACCAAGACATACTTTCTCCTTACAATATTAATATGTTTGATAATAAATATTAGAAGAATAAAACTACGGCGTTTCGAAGTTATCTTGACTCCATTATCAAGTAGGGGTGTTAGTTGTAGATCTCAATTAGACTAGTGATGAGAATATAGTAAAATATCAATTCTAATAGAGAGCATCATTAGATCCAATACTAAATTCCCTGTACTAAAATGATAAGCAGTGTATGGCAAAAAGAAGGGAGAATTACTAGTCTAAGAGAGATCATGGGAGTGAAATGATTCACAGAACGTGTACTTTACAGTATTGTATATTTTTTTATGTTATATGCTGAGAATAAATTACTTTTCCTATTTCTTTCTTAAGTCAAACCCTCATCAACCTTATGCTGGCTGGCTATAGAGTATCAAATGTGTGGGATTCTTCAAGAACACTTTCAGGCCTGGGTAGGTGTTTGCAGTATTTTACTAGTGACAAAATCAAAATCTTTTCTGGCCAAAAGTTGATGAGAAAATGAAAATGGGAAATTTAAAGAAAAATATCAACTATAATGGATGATTGACCATCAAATTCTGAGATCTCAAATGAAAACAAATTTTTCAGCTAAGAGTGCAGAGAATTCACAATCATTTAGATTTTGGGATTAAAAAGGTCAAGGTATATGAAATGGCTTTCTTTATTTCTGTAGAATTAAGAGGTATTCCTAAGCAGTCTTCAATAGGATTTTTAACACTTTTAGAAGCTCATCGATACTGTGAGGTGAGTTTGTAAGCTGGCCTTGTCCAGCCAATTTTTATGTCTGTGCTGCATTGCTTTAATTTGTCTAATATATCTTTGAGAGTGAGTAGCATCAAATTTCTCTTTTTATACAGTTTCACCCCTGAATCCAACATTAAAACCATGAGATTGAAGGAAATGATCACCAACTAAAGAAGCTCTTGATTGTAAAACAAATTCTTCTTGTCAGCACCTTAGGAAATATATAGAACAGTATAGAGAATGTGCATTCTGATGTTAGGCTGTAAAGTGTCAAAGCCATTTCTGAAAATATTTTTCTATGTCCATAGTTTCTTAGTATGCTGATAAAGTGCTATTTGTTCTATTTGTTAACAAGTTAAACGTTGTAACTCAAGGAATATTTTGATGTGATTCTTATTCCTTCTTTTTTCTTTTTTTTCGAAAATATGATATCACAGGTTGGGAACTTTTTGAAATCTCCAATGTATCCAATATGGCTTCTTGCTAGTGAAACTCATCTTACAGTTTTTTTCTCTCAGGTAAGTTAATCATAACAAATATAAATTTATTTTAATTAGCTGTTTAATAGTGTTCCCACTATTGTTAAGATTCCTGATTTTACAAGCATGTGGCAATAAGGAGTATTGTATAGCCATGTTTTGTAGATGGGATGTTTTTCCATTCCAAGCTAACCCCACCATCGTGTCAGTGTTCTCATTTATACTCAAGGAAGGAGAGAGACAATACACCAATGAAGTGTCCTACCAAAGAACGCCAAAAGGTGTCCCCTGTGTTCTCCCTTATTTTAAACACGGCAGGCGAAAGAAATTTTCCAACTGGTGGACAGATCCTTTTGTACTTGTTGAATTTTCAAGATATTCCGAGCATTGCAAGGCAATGATAGAAGGTACACGTACTTCAGGGTGGAGGCACGGTGGCCTCATGGTTGGTGCGCTCGACTCCGGATCAAGTGGTCTGGGTTTGAGCCCTGGCTGGGACATTGTGTTGTGTTCTTAGGCAAGACACTTTACTCTCACAATGCCTCTCTTCACCCAGGTGTTTAAATGGGTACCGGCAATTTAATGCTGGGGGTAACCCTGCGATGGACTGGCATCCCATCCAGGGGGGAGTAGAAATACTCCTAGTTGCTTTGTGCTACAGAAACTGGAGTTAAGCACAGGCCTAATGGGCCACTAGGCTCATACACGTACGTCAGGGGGTAAATTTTACTTGTAACAGCTTGAAAACGAAACACTGTTTCAAGGGCTGGAACCTAGATGGTTTAATCCAGAGTCATCTCTGTGAAGCCTCAGGCTCCCACATGTTTCATTACTCCTGAAGTGGATTTATTTAATGGTGGGATTCTCAACAGGAAAGAATTGATTACATTGTATGTAATTAATGCACATTGTATGTCTCCCCATTAGGTAATCTGATCCTATGGAATTTGCAAAGTTCTGCATATTGAAGAATGGATGCCATAGACACTTTCTTTTATTATTTCAGGAAAGAAGTCTAACTGGCTCAGAAAGTGAAAGAGAAAAAGGGCTGAGAGTTTTTAAATCTCATGACCAGCAAGGTATTGAAATATTCAACAAACTGATTATAAATTATTAATAATTCTAATAATTTCAAGATCTATGTGTATTTATTTAGCTAGATCTGAAATGAAATTTCTGCAATGTTCACAAAATTTCTTATTTGCTATCTCTTGAATAGACAATGGTTTCATAACAAGTGATCAACTTGGAAGTGTCCTAGAGGATCTTGATCTTGTTTCTGATCCTGAATAGTAAGTTACTTCTTATTACAATTGCCACATCTGCCATTTGCTTTTTTAGAGCAATATTTAATTTCAATTGATTTTCAATTGAAAGGTAATTGTGGTTTGCTTTAGTTTTGCTTTACTTTGCATTCTGATTGGTCTAGCAGTTTTCTCAATCAATGAAATTCAGAACTAATAAAAATGATTTGGGACTCGGTCACTCACACCTTCGCTTGCCATTCCCTTCACTGTTCGAACGGCTACCGTTAGGAACGTTTTCGCGTGAGAGGTCACATTTGTCTGATTGGCGGTTGTCAAATGTATTTTCCATCTCTAACTATCCAAGGCTAGCTCCTTATATGAGGGTAATCTGAAAATTGCTTTAAAAAATGTATTACTTTATCATCTTTTTAAACAGTACGTCAATTTATGATTTGCTGATCGTGTGCTTCTATTTATTGTAGTGTATCCTTTATGAAAGAACGCCTTGACCAAGATTCTATTGGGATCATTCTTCTGCAGAATTTCCTGGCAGAGTTTTTCCCTGGAGAGGTATGTAGTTCCTTTTTAAGGTTTATTAATGTCTTACCCTTACTAATCAGGAACCATGTTGCATGATGTGTGATGCATTAGGTGCCTGATGCATGAATCTTTTAAGGGTTTGAAATGTGCATTGGAAAACTTAGTCTGTCACACAAGTCCAATCTGCAGAGTTTTAAGGCAGAAGGTTTAGATCCCATTAAGGTTACTTCCTACCTTCAGATGCCCCCCCAAAAATTTTTCTTTTATTTGACTAAATTGAAGTCAACCATTTTACCTAACATTCCCCCCACACCAAAAAAAAAATATATATATATAATTATATAAAAAATCTGCAAAAGTGTCCAAGTTATTTAGAAAAAAGTATTTTCAAATAAAAGATAATAAATCAGGAAGGTGTCATCATCTTGTACCTGGGCAAGCCCCCTAGGGGAATTTTTTGCAGCAACCACTCGTTCATATTATTTGCATCTGTTTGTTTCACATCTGGTTGCAGGATTTACTAGCAGATGATGTTAAGCCATTTAAAGCTTTTCACTACAATGGACTTGGATTAAGAGAGGAAGATGGCACTAAAAAGGTAGAGGTCATTGAACTTTGAATAATTAAACCCTCCTTAAATGTGATGACTGTAAAGAAGACAAACAAGGTGGCTTGATGCTGTCTTCTGGCATTTTAAAATACATTGTAGCTTGATAACAAGAGGTGTATACAATGTGATAATAATATGTGGAACCCATATAAAATTGAATTATATTTTTAAGAAAGCAATAGACCACTTTTTCTATTTGTTCACCATTGTAATAATCCACTTAGTATGTTGAGAGAACACAAGAAGATTTTTTAATCACTTGCCTCTGACTCCTTATCTTTGCTTTGACAAATTTGACTAAAATTTTCGATAGTCGACAAATCCATGAACATTCACTAAGAAATTCTCGCAGTAATGAACCCTACCTACTTATGACCGCCTCCCGGTTAGCTCAATTGGTTAGAACACTAGACTGTTGTGCGGGAGGTCGAGGTCGATAGTTCAAGCCCTGGCTGGACCAACACTCAAGGTTTTAAAATAACTGAGGAGATGGCACTACCTTTCTATAATATCAAGAAATGGATAGACATTCTAGTCTTCTCAGATAAGGTCGAATAAACCGTAGGTCCCGTCTCCTGCATCTATTAATTAGTTAATTTGGTTAGGCAGGGNATGAAACCACAGTACACATACATGATTTTCATAACACAAAATTCGCTTGATTTGACGAATTTGACAAAGTTTTGCTACTTTCAATACTATGTGCATTTCTGGATATTTCTCCAACATCTCTGTCAGTTATTTCATAAGGACCTAGGAAAGAATAGGCCATTTTACAGTTGTGTACTTAGTTGCCAAGCCTTTGATTCAGAGTGAGGCTGAAGGTATCATAACAAGGTCAACCCTAGCCTCACTCCCATTCAAAGGCTTTGCAACCAAACAAAAAACTGTAAAATGGACTATTGTTGATATGAAAACATAATCCTTTAGCAAGAAACTATGTGGTCCAAATCATATTTATGAGGATTTGAGTGATGAGGATGATGAAGGATGTTTTGTTAGTTAACCTAACATCTTATAAAATTATGTTCCAAATTGTCTATTTGTTTTGATAAACTGTCTGAAAATTTTTCTTCAAAGGTTATATACACAGAAGGACTTGCTTCCATTGAGCCATCAGACTTCAGCCGTATAGCAGAACAACAGATTGTTTCTTGTCTAAAGACCAAGTGGCCAGGAGTATGGCTGGAGTGGGAAGGGAAACATGTGCCATCATTAAATTGAAAAAAATGGCAGTTCACCACTTGAGATCTATCCATCATATTAATGACTTTTTTATGAATGGTGTAATATCCTCCTTGCTTCTCTTTGAGAAAGCAATGAATCATGGGTTATATAGTCAGTCTTCATTTTAGGAGACCTGTTGGGTTGACTTACCAAGCAATCAACATGCTGTTTTAATGATGCTTTGGTTGGCAACACTTAAGCTCTCCTTGGTTGAAGCTCTATTTTCCTTTGCAAGCTGTTACAGCTTAGCAAATTTGTGAGCTTGGTGGAGATAAAAATATTTGTGTTTGCATTGCAACAGATGTTAGGCTGTAAAATGATGTGAACCGTGAATCTTTGAAAGTTATTGAATTACTGAAACAGACAATCTACTCTTACTACATTTGTTCTAAAACAGGAGTAAAAGAATATTCAGGAAAGTGAATTTTACCCTTGGATTATCCTGGACAAGTGATTTAAATTCACTTTCAATCTGGTATTTTTGTTGTGAAATTTAAAGATTTATTGATGGAAAATATCTGGAAAAAGTATCTATTATTATTTAATTGGTTATGTCTTGTTATTATTGGCATGTGTAAAATGTGAATTATTTTTATCACGTTATTGTACACTTCTCAGAGCATTGCATAAATAAACAAACAAAAATCTTCTAACTTCGAGCAAAGTAAAGGTTACTTGTAATGGAATAATGGTCTATAAAGTACTGCTCATAAACTCCCCTCTATGAGTGCCAAAATAATTTCACCCTTGAGGTAGCGCAGTGGCATGGCAAAGACCTCGCACTGATTGGAGTCCTACATAAGGTCAGGTTCAACCTGGGGCCCACTTCTCAAAAGTTATGGTGAATTGACGCACCAAAAATAGAAGCAGGTTCTGGCTTTCTGACTAGTCCGTATACCAGTATTTTTAAATAAAGGGTGAAAGTTTCTAAATAAACTGTGGTGCTGCGTCGGTGGGGCTGACAAGTAAATTGGTAACATCAACTAAGTTGAAATAGCAAATTGGCCACCATAAAGATTTAAAAAATCTGACGTTTTGAGCATCGGCTCTTCATCATTCGCTGAAAGAGCTAATGCTTGAAACGTCAGATTTTTAATTCTTAACGGTGGCCAATTTATCATTTCAACTTAGTTGATATAACAAAATTACATATATTTTTAAGCTGAAAGTTTTATTTTATAATCTTCAAAAACTTTTGAAACCCTCATCTTGAATTGAAACAGAACAGCTCTACAGCCCTGATATGTTAACAGTACCTTCGAGAAACACGCCCCTGGTCAGACGTTAGGGACTTTAAGTAAACCATAGTGGCAACCGTGATGAGGACGTGTCAAAACAATAGATCTAACTGGCAGAAGAGTAGCTCAGTGCATGCATTTTAAAACTTTGTACATTTCTTTATGTTCTGCCAAACAAAATGAAACTGCCAAAATTTACATTGTCTGGGAATGGAAACACCAACAGCAGTTCTCTTAAGTTTGAATCTAGAACTTGACCCCGTTCATACAAACCTGATACTAAAGTTGAGGTGTAGCATCACAAGGGAAAGAAAACACATCCAGCCATCCATGAAATTCTTACTTTAAATCTATGTTCATTTGTTAATTGATGTTTTTTTCACCATGGTCATTCTGACTGCTTTAGGTCCCTACTTTCTCCGCGAAGAACAATGCCAAGTCATTTGGGAAACCATACTAAATACATGGGGGTAACAATGATATGGACCATCATTCTATCCAAACAGTGGTTGTTCCACAAGCTATGGCAAATTATGTGGGATGTCCACCTCATTTGCTGACTAAATCCCACTATTATTTTTCCATGTGTAGTGTATTTCAGAATTACCATGGTTGAGTGCATTATACAGCAAACTTAACCCTTTGACTCCCACAAGTGACCAAGATATAATTTCTCCTGACAAGATCAATACAATATCAAGCAGACAAGTAGTGGGAATAAAGAAAATTATCAATAAGGGGATAATTAATTGATCCAATACCAAATTCTTCAAACCAACATCATAAAAATTGTATGATAGACAGTAAAGAGAATTTCTAATCATATTTTGCAAGTAAAAGGGTTGAGAACATGTGTCTCCTTAAAGTCCCTCAGTATACAACTGTTTCTTTGCTGGGGGAAAGGAGGGGGGGCAGGGAACTTCCATCTTTTCCACACCAAGTGATGATAATGATATTTATCCAATAAAATTCAACACAAAAACACAAGCAAATGTTTGATTTGCAAATATTACAATAAATTTTCATGTTAATAATAGTATACATTACTTTGTCTATGTTACATCTCATAAATAATAAAATCTTAGTCCCAGCTTCATCCAATTGTTTAGCACCTGTAGAACCTGTGAAATGAATAGGTTGTTTCTTGTATTAATTAAAAAGTCACATTTCAATCGACTTCAAAGGAGTGCTCTGACAATATGTGAGCAATTCTTTTTCCAACATAACATCTACTTTATTTCAAAAAAAAAAAAATTGCATTCTTTCAAAAGCCAGCTATAAAGTGTTCATTGGCTTGAAGTTAGAACTGCTGAAAAGAATGCTCATTTTAAGGTTATTTCATTCACTATCTCTTCACACACAGTGCTAGAGTTTCTGAGATAAATGTTTTGTGGTATAATGGTCCTAGAAGCCAGACTAGACATTCCATGAAGTATTTTCTTGTGACTTGACTGATTGTAGTTCAGTTGATTCTCTGCATGATGATCATCCAAACATTCAACCAAAGTGACCAAATGTTCTGGAAAACAACTGCATGACTTTCCATGGGACTTGAAATAGTCTAACAAACTACTTGCAAAGTCAACTTGACCAATTCTTAACAAGATGAGACAATTCCAATCTGAAGTTTCTAACATGACAGTCTTCTTGAAGAAATGTCTATCCAGTTTCCACACATGAGAAGCAATGCTGTAGAAAATTATCAAATTCCCTGTGAAGAATTCACTGTGAGCTTTTCTTTGTCTTACAATTGATCATCAGATATACTCCATAAAAAGAGATAAAACTTCCAACAAGGTAAAGTCCATAAGCTCCTCTGTGTAAATAACAATCTGATTGTCCCTTGTCTGTGAAGTTAAAGATGACAGGCTTTTCACCAGACTGCAAATAGAGAATGCAAAGATTGAATAATGTACAAGTTTGTAGCTATTTTAAATTTCATATCTGTTACTGCTTTCCACCGATTTTACATGCTTATCAATCGCAATATTTGATCAACTTGTCATGGATACAGTTGACATTGATCATTGTACGAGTTGCATTCACAGATAAATTACACTGATCAAAAGGTCTCTTCATGATAAGGTTTAAGGCAACTCAAAAGGAAGAAATATGACCTTGTGCTCTTTTAGGAACCACCAAACTTGCAAAAGCAAAGATCAATTTCTATCATTGCATCTTACAATAGAGTTCCTGTTAATTTGCTGAACAGAATAGTCAATTTTTAATTTGCAACATGTTTTACATATGTTCTCCGCAACTCGCACATGTTGCAAAAATTGTGGGGGAAAAAGGTGTGGCTTATCAAAAGCGTTTTCTGTAGCTCAGTGTCTTAGCAAAAAGTCATTCTAGAAGCTGACAAACTTGTTTTGATTTCCAGAATTTTTCACACCGAGGTAGACTTTCCCGCACAGGGTTTAGTCTGTGCCCAACTATCATTAAACAAGTGTTTTGAATACTGTTTTTAAACTCTATATTTCAGAAAAAAACTTTAAACAAAATGATAGTTATAAGAGAAATAGAACAACTATGGAACACAGGCAATGACATATAAATACAAAATTAGCTGAAAAAAAAGGTATCGTAGGCGAGAGAGAAGTTAGGAGGAAGGTTGGCGGGGGGTTGCTAAGCTAACATCTGCCCGTATATGACTGCCGGAAAGTCGATCCTGAAATTCTGTCCACTCCTCGGTGATGAATGCTGAAATTTCAAGTACATTTTTTCTTTAAGCACTATCACTGTTTAATATGCAATGATTTCTGCGTAGATCAAGGAAACAAACGCTGAATACAGTACTTTCAAGAGTTCGTAGTCGTAGGTTGCGTAACGCAATGAGCCGAACATGTGACGAAACACATGTAGTAAAAATTGAACCGAAAAAAATCTATTTGAACCATCATTTCTCTCAATGAATTTCTCTTTCCGTGCTGATCTTGCCAAATTTAGGATTTCTATTACCATTTTATAGTCGGAATCTCTCGTGTAGTTATGTTTTTGCGCACAAAAAATAAATCAACCGGCAAAATATTTGCAGATTACAACAACGCGTGCATTACGAAATCAATCAACGTAGTGCAAAACCTCATAACCACTTAGGAGCGAAATAAACAAAGTAAGCTGGCAAAAAATCGAACCTAGCGTCTCTTGTAGTTAAAAAGATGTAATCAAACACGCCTATGATCTTAACAAGAAGATCTCACCTGGAAAAATCGTTGAAATACCGTCTTCCAGTTCTGCTGATAGGGTCTCGAGACAGGGCTTGTGTGATACAAACTTCTTGAAATGTACAAACACCTCGCAATTTGACCCATAGGTGTCTCGAAAGCAATAAATTTTCTTGATGGATCAGGTTCTTCACAATGCTGACTTGTCTTCAAACTTCTTGGAATAAAATGTGGAACTTCGAAAGGCAGATACTACTTCGCGGACGCGAATGTGGGTGCGTTAACGCAAGTACTGTGGTGAAATTTGATCTACTAGGTAACCGCTCTTTTCCACGTGAACACAGCGTGGAAAGGTAGAAACTGGTTTCTCCGCTTTTACTCCACCTAAACAACAGGCTCTCGCTATTTTGGACACGAAAAACTAAACGAAATAGTCAGTGCTAAGAATCTGGCGATTGCTTTTGTTAAAAGTTGGTCGAAGGCGCAAACGAGAGCTTTTACGGAAGCTATCCAAAATCCAACGATTGCTTTCCACAAGCGCAAAGACAGTAGTTGAACAGTTTGAACAGTCAGATCCATCACACTCTTACGGATGAATTCATAAAAAGGACGTCACACATTTCTTGTTTTTCATTGAAACAGAGAAACAAACCTTTAGCTTTATTCAAAAACGCCAAACTTAGCAAATGCCTGAAGTCTTTAATAAAAATCCGTCGAACTTTCCAATCCTCCCTTGGAATGAGTGCCGGATATAACACCCAGGAAGAGCTTTCTCGACACACCCCGCATCAGAGGGCGCCGGCTATTCTCGACTACCCCCACTCTCTTAACTCTTGTCCCGAGTGGCTCATTTCAGGACCGCAACAGGATGTGGAGCCCCCAGAGCCACATGTTGTCTCCTCCACACTTGTTCTTTCGGATGTCACGCAAAGCACCCTTGGGGAAGTGTTGCGTGACCTCCCACCGAATGGCTGCTCGCGCTCGCTTGAAAAATTCAAAAAAAAAAAAGGATTATCTCTGTCCCACACAATGAAAAGTGATAGGATACCTTCTCTGCTTACGTCAAGTGAAAAAAAAAAAACTCTAGTAACAAGACAGGACGCGCTGGCGTTTCTGTTTAAGCTGTAGACCCCTGCAGGATTAGCAGCACATCAGTCAACTGTCAATTTCGGTCAAAATTTTGTTCCATTGCAAGTTTACTTCAAACTGTTTTCGATTACCTTTAAATTCAATCATCTAGGCTTCATTGTCAATTTAGGTGTTCTCGTCTACCCGCTTGCCTTTCTCTTCTAGTTGGGAAACACGCAGCCCTTAGAAGAAAGGAGACTTGCACTAATAATTGAGAATCCGACCCATCTTCCCACGAGAACGAGGAATATCAATATTGGTATTAACATGAGGTCAACAGAAAGAACCGCGAATTAAAGTAAGCCGCCTTTTATCTCAATGTAAAACCTTCATGCTGCTCTAAAGCGTGGCATGGGATCGAGTTTAGCGACCATCTCGCACGGCTGACACGCGGCCTACGTGATAAAGTACATAAATACATACATACATACATACATACATACATACCTACATACGTACTTACATACATATATACATACACACACACACACATACATACATACATACATACATACATACATACATACATACATACATACATACATACATACATACATACATACA